GTGTTAATTTCAATTTCTGAGGAGAAATTGATCGCTAAAATATAATAGTTGTGGATTTGACCACCCACACAATAACAACACATGTATCTGTTAAATCCCATTTCAAGATCGCGACATCTCGGATTTAATCCTCCCCCTCCTTGTCAATCCTACTTATGTTTATCAATCTTTAGTTCCGAAAATTTATAAATCCCAGAGAAACCTCTCGATCCGAAGACCACCTACGACCTTCATAAGAAGCTTGATCATTAACGAACATTTTTTTAGTAATCCTTTATCTTGCTTTCATAGTTAAAAAAAATATAAAATAATCTTTTTCTTGTATTTTGAACAACTTCGATCTAGACCTAAAAAAACTATATCATCAATATGTTTTTTGTTATCATATTAAATTTTTCCTATCATTTTACAAAATAACGGAATTAGTTAAAAAGTTTAGCATTTCTTCAGATTATGACGTAAAGCAAAATTATGCAATAAAAAGAAAATCAGCTTCCAGCCCAGTATATTTTTTCAATAAATTATAGAACTAATACTAAAAATATAATACTAAAAATAGTATTATGAGTTCATCAATTGTATAAAATAAAACAATAATATTATGTAAAATATAATTTATTATTAATCTCTAAAAATTTGTTTAAATATAAAATCTCTGAACAGCCGTAAATCACAGACGAGAAGATGAAGAAAAGGAAGAAAGGAAGACGAGTATCTAAAAGTATTTAAGTCCTCGTCCAGCCAGCAGTCCTGGGATGAGGGATGGAGGGATGACACCCTGCATATGATGCATGGATGATGAATGAAGAGAGTTCTGATAAACTTCACACTCAACCAACCTCTTGGCCTTGGCTCGTCTGTTCTGGAACCAGATTTTAACCTGGGTTTCAGAGAGTCCTAAACTCTCAGCAAACTCTGCTCTCTCAGCAATAGAGAGATAACTCTTCTCAATATATTTCTTCTCTAGTTGATTTAATTGAGAACTGCTGAACGGAGTTCTAGGCTTACGATCAGATCTATGCTTTCTCAGGGTACACTTTAGAGGTAGCTGGGGCATCCTTGAGGCCTGGAGATTGTTCAGTAGCTGATACTGGAGGAAGGGAGGCATGAAGGGGTAGGATGGAGGAGATAAGGAGCTCCGATCAACGGGAGGAGACACACTGGAGGTTCTGTCCAAATCTGGAGACTCGGAGTGGGATCGATCTCCGTAGCTGAAACTGGAGAGAGAATCATCAAAATCTTTGCAATCTTTTTGTCCGCATTCTTCAGAGAGAATGAAATCGATTCCAAAACCAAGCTTTTTGCTTTCCATTTTAAAGTTTTAGTAGTATTGGTCTTGTTACGGCTACCCCCGGCTATACACCAATCATCTTTATTAATTTTATTCCTTTAAACTTGTCCTTGTTATTATTAAACTAAGTTTACGACTACACTGTGGATTTTATTGTTTATTTATTGTTGAAAACAATTTTATTATTATTGTTTTATGTCTTTAAACATTAAATTAGTTTTTATGTGTTGCAGTGCACCCCAATAAACAGTGGTTTCCTAGAAACCGTATTTCTCCACAATTTACATAAAATGCCATATTTATAATTTCTCAAAGAAACTAAATTCTCTTCAAATTTCGAAACTGTTTTTTTCTCATTAGTTTATACTTTTTTATTGGCTAGTTCTGAAAACTAAATTTAGCACTCAGTCTCCTTTATCTAGCACTCCAGAGAATTCAAGATTTAGATTGTATTCTGCAGGATAGGGAAATGGAGAATATTCTTTCAAGATTTACATTGTATTCTGATCCAGTATAGAAGAATGGAGACTATTTATACCTAGGTTTACAGTGTATTCTCCAGTATAGAAGAATGGAGACTATTTATACCAAGGTTTACAGTGCATTCTTCAGTATAGAAGAATGGAGACTATTTATACCAAGGTTTACAATGTATTCTCCAGTATAGACTGAAATTCAAAGGCATATAGAAAAGGAAACGCCAAAAGAAAAAAAAAGCATATTAAGAGATTTGAAAAAGAAAAAAGAGCAAAAACTATAGTCATACAGATGTAGAGACTCTTAGATTGAGACACTGAGTAAAAAAGTAAAAAAAGAGAAAAAAGAGAAAAAAAAATAATAAAGAGACTTGTGAAAAAGCGAAAGATTAGAAAAGAAAAACAGATCCAAACATAACTAAAAGAATTAAAAACAAGATAAAAAGAATTATAAAAATAGTGAGACAGATGAAGAGACTGTTAGATACAGACACTGATACTGATAAACCAGACAAATGATGAGACAGTGATGATTAGTTTTACTCAAGTTGAAAATTAATCAATTTAGAAATATTTCGTGTTTTATCCATATCAGCACACACAGTCCCCATTATTAAAGAAAATAAAAGTTTCGCAGAATATACATTTTTTAAATATATCATCGATATATAAACACAAGTATTGATATAAATGTCTATTGATTGAAAATAAGGATTATTCAAAAGGTGATTAGAATTTTCTTCGATAATTTTTTATACATTTTCCTCCGTGCACTTTTTACAACTACAATACTTATAATACATAGATAGATAGATAGATAGATAGATAGATAGATAGATAGATAGATAGATAGATAGACATCTAAAACACAGACAAAATAGCACACGGACAAAAAAAATATCTAACAAACAGACAAAGTAGCACACGGAAAAAATGCATCTAACAAACAGACAAAGTAGCATACGGACAAAAAAACATCTAACAAACAGACACTGTTGTTATACATGGAACAAACATGTGTCTAACACACGGTCAGTGTAGCACACGGACTTGCCGTCCGAATCAGGATTGTCGGAAAATCGTTCTGTCCAATAAGGACGGACGGACATGTTGCTTATGGCAAGAGTAGTTCATAAAAATGTGATTTTATATATGCTGAGAAATGCTTTGTAAATGTGGAAATTAAAGATTTATATTTTTATATAGTAAAGAAAAAGGGTAAACACAATCTGAAAAGAAAAAGAGCTAGAAATGAAAATGTTTATCAACATTAAAACACAATTTCATAAATATTTTAATACTTATTTATGTTGCTAACAACATTACGTTGTGTTATATTTTGTAGGTTTATGTTTGTTTTGAAAATATATATATATATATGAATAGATGAATAGATTGATATGGATTGATAGATAAATACGGTTAGATGGATAGAATGATACAAATGGATGGATTGAATGATACAGATAGATGAATAGAATGATACAGATAGATGTATAGAATGATACAGATAGATGAATAGAATGATACAGATAGATGGATAGAATGATACAGATAGTTGGATAGAATGATACAGATAGTTGGATAGAATGATACAGATAGATGGATAGAATGATATAGATAGATGGATAGAATGATACAGATAGATGGATAGAATGATAACGTAATTAATAATGTTTTTAGTTCAAGTTTCTGAATAGCCAGGAATACTTCTTATACAGTAAATAGACCAAATCAACCAACAATAGAAATATTTCAGTTTTTAATCCACTTAATTTAGATCTTGCGTTGGTCTAGCTACATTATACACTGCATGTACAGGGTGTATTGATAGATAATTTTTATTCACCTCTATTAAAAATTAATCTATAATTAAGTCTGAAACTTAAAAAATTAAGTTACATTTAATAGCAGCCTAGAAAATCTTTTGACACATTTTTTGTTTAAAACTAAATCAAAGGAATTGAGTTTTTGCAACAAACTCAAATTTTCTAATCTTTATATCTTTTCAACCTGATGGTTCAAATCTTCGATATTTCAAACTAAGATTACTTGATAGTTTGAAATATCTAAGGTCTACGACATTGGGTTAAATAGATATAGGGATTAGAAAAAAAAAGTTTATGGCAAAAACTCCATTCCTTTTCAACCTAAAGTCACTTTTGCTTTTATAGGTTTTGATAGTGTTTTTAACTCTCCCATTTTATAAAAAATGTGCTTCGCAAATTTCTGTACGGATCTATTTATGAGTGATGTACGGATCTATTCATGAGTGATGTACGGATCTATTCATGAGTGATGTACGGATCGATTCATGAGTGATGTACGGATCTATTCATGAGTGATGTACGGATCTATTCATGAGTGATGTATGTTATAAAAACTATGACAATTTTCTGTGAGGAACAATGAGCGTGATTTTAACTGATCCTCCATGGCAAAGATGGCAATGCCCAATTATACCAGAACTGAAAACTCTGAATTTGCCCAATTTACAACCCTTGAAACCTTTATTTAATCAAAAGTGTGGAAGTGACTCGAAAAGTGTTTAATTCTCATTATGCGCAAGTCACGTTTACAGTAAAACCGCAAATGAAAATAAACAGTTCAATGAAATCTAATACAAACCTGATCAAACTACTTTTAAGGGCACCACCATTTTTTCATGGAGGGTCACTTGAAATTAAGCTTACAGTCTCTTTAAGTTATTTTATTCAAATGTTTTATTATAGGAAACATTAAACATGGGGGTCAAGTCACAAGTGAGGATCTGTATCAGCTGATCGATCTGTTTCAGCTGATCGATCTGTATCAGCTGATCGATCTGTATCAGCTGATCGATCTGTTTCAGCTGATCGATCTGTATCAGCTGATCGATCTGTTTCAGCTGATGTATGACACATTTTAGTATTTCAAAATGTAGCTGATACCGTCCATAACTTTTAAACTAGCTCTTGACAAACAGTCCTTAACTCTTGAGTCATTGGCTTATCTTCATTGAGTCCTTGATTTATCTTCCTTAAATCTTTAGTCCTTGGCTTATCGTCCTTAACTCTAAAGTTCTTGGCCCTTAACTCTTCAGACCTTGGCTTATTGTTCTTAACTCTTGAGTCCTTTGCTTATGTTTATGGTCCTTAACTCTAAAGTTCTTGGCTTATTGTCCTTAACTATTCAGACCTTGGCTTATCGTTCTCTTGAGTCCTTTGCTTATGTTTATGGTCCTTAACTCTTGAGTCCTTTGCTTAATTGTCTAACTCTTTAGTCCTCGGCTTATGGTCCTTAACTCTTGAGTCCTTGGCTTATGGTCCTTAACTCTTGAATCCTTGGCTTATTGTCTTTAACTCTTTAGTCCTCGGCTTATGGTCCTTAACTCTTGAGTCCTTGGCTTATGGTCTTTAACTCTTGAGTCCTTGGCTTATTGTCTTTAACTCTTCAGACCTTGGCTTATCGTTCTTAACTCTTGAGTCCTTTGCTTATGTTTATGGTCCTTAACTCTTGAGTCCTTGACTTAATTGTCTAACTCTTTAGTCCTCGGCTTATGGTCCTTAACTCTTCAGACCTTGGCTTATCGTTCTTAACTCTTGAGTCCTTTGCTTATGTTTATGGTCCTTAACTCTTGAGTCCTTGGCTTAATTGTCTAACTCTTTAGTCCTCGGCTTTTGGTCCTTAACTCTTGAGTCCTTGGCTTATGGTCCTTAACTCTTGAATCCCTGGCTTATTGTCTTTAACTCTTTAGTCCTTTGCTTATCGTCCTTAACTCTTGAATCCTGAAAATAACGGGATATTGAATTTTTGGATTTTTTAAAATATGATTTATTGAACTTTTGAATACTTTTTTTCTCAATTTCTTGGGTACAAATAAGACTAGCTACTTTTTTTGGAATACCAGAATGAGGAAATGTGATGTTTTTAAGCAGAAAGTGGGATGGGGGGGGGGGAGGTATATAGTTCATAAAGATCAATTTCACTGATATTGTCTCTGTTTTACATTTCCTTCCTAAACAGTTTCATCTCAAATATCAAGGTTCGTTCAAGCTCAGGGTACCCAGCTCAACACAGAGATCCGTCCCAGACTTCTCCGTCCTAGATTAGGATACAGAGAACCAAGACTCATGCAGAGTTAGGTATTCTCAAAACTGATACTTAATCTTACATTAAAATTCAAACCCGACCTACTGTATTCTGATACTTAATCTTATATTAACATTCAAACCCGACCTACTGTATACTGATACTTAATCTTAGATAAACATTCAAACCCGACCTACTGTATGCTGATACTTAATTTTACATTAACATTCAAACCAGACCTACTGTATACTGATACTTAATTTTACATTAACATTCAAACCAGACCTACTGTATACTGATACTTAATTTTACATTAACATTCAAACCAGACCTACTGTATATTGATACTTAATTTTACATTAACATTCAAACCAGACCTACTGTATATTGATACTTATCTTATACTAACATTTAAACCCGGCCTACTGTATATCAATACTTAATCTCACACTAACATTCAAACCCGACCTACTGTATATTGATACTTAATCTTACATT